TGTATCCCAGGTTTCCGGGCTGGGCTGGCAGAGGAGATAAAACGTGCCTGGAAAGTACCAGGAACCACTGGCCTGTGCTTAGAGCCCCAGGCCCCAATTACTCTGTGCTAGTCCTTGGATCCAGTGCCAGCTTCTTGATATGAGCGTCGCTGTGGTGTTTCGAGGCCCCCGGCCTAACCCTGGGCTGCTGCTTCTGGGCCTGTTGTTTCTGCCAGCCGTGATTGCCTTCACCAGCGGTGAGAGAAAGAGTGAAGGGATTCCACGGGCAGGGAGATGGTTCAGGAGCCTCAGGGGTGGGGAGGTGAACTCTAATGACGCCAGTCATACTGCATTGGCTTGCCAACTGCCCTTTACCACCCACCTGACTTCTGAATGAGAGGTGGTGCTATAGATATGAGAGAGGAAAAGGTCCAGCGGTATCACTGGCCGATGATATGGTACCCACCACTACCTCCTCGACTCCCCATTCCCTTCTCTCCTTTTGCCCTCAGCTAGTCCTGAAGAAGATGCTAGAGATCTTAACTGTGTGTGTGCGAAGACCATCTCCTCTGGGATCCACCTTAAGCATATCACTACCCTGGAGGTGATCAAGGCAGGACGCCACTGTGAAGTTCCCCAGCTCATGTGAGTCGTGCCCACGTCCCCCCAGGCCCGTCCTCTCCTCCTTCTCTGCCCAGTCCTTTCCATCTCTTCCCTCCTTCCAAGCAAGGCCCTGAAGAGTGCATTCCTTCCCTTTCCCCTGGCAGAGCCACTCTGAAGAATGGGAGGAAAATTTGCCTGGACCGACAAGCACCCATTTTAAAGAAAGTAATGAAGAAACTCCTGGAGAATTAGGTGCTAGCTGCCTAAATTTGCAATGTGTTATATGGGATACTGGAGTTTTGTCTACTTTCAATCTAACTGCAGTCTTCCAATGTTTATATTATCCTTTGAGACTTAAATAAATGCATTGAACCAAGTTGTCATAAAGTCGAACCATTTCTTTGTGCTGGAGGCAAAAACAGTGCTGGTAGATGACATGTGAGAAAACGTCTCCAGAACTTTAAGTAAAAATATTTTGAAGGAAGGTTTGGTCTAAGAACTGAATTTGCTTGGCATTATGGGTGTATGCCAGCTGATGAATATTTGCATATTTACTCAATTACATTTTGGTGTCGCTCTAATTATATTTTAGTTTTCTGTTATAATCAGCTTTGTCAATAAATAACTAGTGGGACTTAAGCATTACTAAGTTGCTTTTAAAAAGAAGTACATAAATCAAACTTCGACTCTTTCCTTAAGATTTATACTCTATTTTATCATTAAAATAACAAAAATAAATTGAGAATGAATATAATGCTAATGTGTTGATACTTCCAAGAAATTATATGAAACTATATTTCTATTTAAGAATGTTTCTACTTCAAAAAAATGAAATATTAAAAACAGCTCCTATTCTCACATTATTACCTGTGAGGGTTCTTCATCTGGCAAACTTACAGTTCTACTGTGACCTGGTAACATGCCATCACTGTTGCTGTAAGAATGTAGATGTCTCAGGTAGACTTTTTGCAGTATTCTTGGGCTCAGAAGAACCTTATTTGTAATTCAATTTTCTTTAATATCCCACAACATCAGAGATACTAATATGATATGCCAAGCAGTCACGGGAACCCAGGAGTTGCACCAGGTGTGTTTTTCTTGTCCTTTATCTTTCACATCATGCATCTCTATCCCATTATTTCACTGTTCCTTCATATCTGCCCCCTGCCCTTGCAACCCCCCCCCATGAAATCAAATAAAATTTGAGAGAAAAGGAGGAGGAGAAGAAGAAAAGAGAAGTCAGTCTCATCACAGAAGCTGTAGTGTGACTCAGTGAGTCACACAGTAAAACCTTTTGTCCATATATCTTTACTTGCAAGTGTTCATTGCAAAGAGTCATTGGTCTGGTTTGAGGCCTGATTTCTGCTACACCATCTATACTGAGCCCTCACTGGGACTCCTATTGGTTGTCCTATTGTTGTCCTGTGTCATGGAGATCCTGCAGCTTTGAGTCTGCAGAACAGGTCCCTTCACATGCGCAAGCAGATCACAGATGGGGTGGATGTTGGGGTGAGTCAATTCATAACCCTGGTTCTGGGCCTGGGTAGTTACAGGGTTGGTTAGTCAGCCAGCTTTCCCTTGTCCTCACCACCAGGGTGAGCTCTCCTGCACTTCCCTGGCTAGTTCACCCCTTGTAGCAATGAGCAAGGGGTTGGGTCAGTTCTCTGGCTTTCACATCCTCAGGGTCAGTTCTTCCACACTTATACCTTCAGGGTCAGCTCTACTGTGTTGCCCAGGTGCTGCAGCTGATGGGGGCAGGGACAGCTCTTCGGCTCTTTTGACCTCAGGGCCAGCTCTCCTACCTGTCTCAGGCATTAATTGGGGGGGAGGGCATCTCTTCCCCACCCATGCTGCCACATGACAGATGAATAATGGGACAGCTCTCCCATGCTCACAACTTTGGGGCTGGTTCATCTACACCTCTGCCAGCAGGGTTGGCTCTCTTGTGCTGCCCAGGCGAGGTGCAGGGCCTGCTCTCCTGAATGTTGCAGTGGGTGGAGGACAGGAGCAGCTCTTCTGCTCATATGCCCGTACCAGGTGGTTTCATACACCTCAGAAGACAATTAGCACACACTGGGGTGTGGAAGACGCTGTGATATTTGTATATTGGTTAGGCATTGTGTATTCCCTTTTGCTTCTGGTCTCTTATAAAGACCTTTGTACATTCTTAGAACTCTATTGGTTATTCTAGAATAAACATTTTAGCTCAATAGATATCAGCTGTGAAGCTTTTGTGTCATGTGAAATAACATTCATAGTGTTTGGAAATCTTGGGGGTGAGAGTGTTGTTCAAGTGACCTTAATGGGCAGGAAGGCAGACTCTCATTGACCCAAGAAGAAGCTATAGATACTTGCTCATGAGTGAATGCAACTTGAACCTTACATGACAGTGTATAGCAGTCCCAAGAGAAAATAGAGCATGTGCAAATGAGTCTTTTAAGGGAGAGGATAACTCTAGAGTGTTGAATAAATGAAAACAGTTATAATTTGTATAAGCTTTCAAGGTGCACAAGTATCCGAGTGGGAAGTTAGGAAACAGTGATCACCACATTTAGTTCTTGGTGATCTTCACCTTCAATGACACTTTCAAGCACTATTACCCAATTTATCATCCCCAAACACAATACAAGCATGGCAGTTATATGCACAAAATGTTAAAAGTCCTTAGCATGACACCTAAGGCTTTGCCACAGTCACTTTGCCCTTGTGTGGGAGCCCACAGAGGCTTCCTAGTGAGAACTTACTCAGGGTCAGAGAATCTGGGTTTGCTTTCCCCAGCAGGGCTGAACAAGGAGATGATTTGGCCACAGGCATGTTTACCAGGTGTTTGGAAGGGTCTACACTTGACTGGACAGTGTGCTTTGATCTTGTAAATGGGAGGTCTTTTACCTCTCCCCTTGACATGTTATAAAAATCCCTTTTCAATAAAGGACGAGGCTGTTGGGTATTGACCCAGGCCCTCCAGAAGCTATCCTGTATTTCTGTCTTTCTTCTCTGTGGCTAGGTCTCTCTTTCTATCTATCATTTCTTAATTCCTCTCTCCTCTACCTAAGAACCCTTCAAAAGGTGGGAGCTGGACTCCTGCACCCTTGTGCCTTAATGTCCCCATATATGAAATGGGCTATTGAGTGGTATATTCAAAACACTTGCTGTGGTTCTTACACATAGTCTGTGCTTGAAAATGAATGAGGCCCAATTTTATTGGTATCAATATTCTTCTCAAAGTACCATTCCAGGTAGTTTAAAGTAGTAAGGCCTTTGCTAGGGCAGGCTTATTTTGTTTGTTTATTTTGGGTTTTGTTTGTTTGTTTGTTTTTTGAGACAGGGTTTCTCTGTGTAGCTTTGGAGCCTGTCCTGGAACTCACTCTGTAGCCCAGGCTGGCCACTGAACTCACAGAGATCCATCTGCCTCTGCCTCCCGAGTGCTGGGATTAAAGGCATGCACCAGCACCACCTGGCATGCTAGGGAAGTTTTGAGTGGGGGAAAAAAAGAAGGTTTCAGTCACAGTAAGAGTTCTTCAGATCAAGTGAACTTTAAGAGAGAAGTCACTGGAAATGAGATGTGGGTGAAATGTCTGTTTTTGTTCATTTTCTCTTTTGCGTCCTGCCCCTTGCACCCTCAGTGGACAGGACTCAATGTGTCAAAGGGCCCAAACCAGTCTTTCAGAGTCAACTAGGGTTGGGTTGCTGGGGCCTCCTAAACCCTCACTTCAGAATCACCCTGGCCTAAGGATCTTGGGAGCACTTTCAAGCAGTCCCTTTTACCAGCAAGGGCATTGGAAGAGGACTTTGTCACCTGGAAAATCCCAAGATATGCAGCCCGTCCTGCTTTTTGGACATTTATGGAGCAGTAGAGCTAGATTCCACCTGAACTTCCATCTCCCTCCTTGCAACCCAGGTGGCAGTTGGAGGCAATCGGCCGAAAATGCCCACAAGCTCAGCCTTCACTGCACAGTCATGGCCCCTATCGGCCAAACAAAACCACCCAAGTATGTGCTGCTCTCTACAGATCTTCGTTTTTTATAATCTTTACTCTTCTCCCCCCCCCCCTTTTAAGGTTTCCGTGGTTAAAAACAACTTCCTTTGTAATGAATGATGCATTGAGGGGTTAGTTGGTTTTAAAGATAGGCATCTGTTGTATTCTCGTGTTCATTATAGATAATAGAAATTAGACAAGAGAGGGAAACATTTTAAACCTGCAATTTCAACATAAAGCCTGGTGCAGATAATTCCTTGGCCTGGGGCTGGGGGTGTCTAACATGATAGACACTGGTGGTGCTTTTCCCTCTTGGTAACGACCGACACACTCAAGTAACAAAGCCACAATGTGTTTCTACCATTTTATAAAATACACCGGGGGTGCCCGGTGATCGTGAGTCTAAATTGTCTTTTCTAGTAAAAAAAAAAAATAGAAGAAAGAAAAACATTAATTTTTAATGTAATAAGTTCAGGTCATCTTAAGCTTCCATAACAAAATACCACAGAATCATAATTTATAATAACTGAAATGTTATTTGGCTTCAGATTCTGGAGGTTTTGGGATCCAAGACTGAGGGGCTGTATTTGTTGAGGATCTTCTTGCTGCCTCGTAGCCTCCTGGAAGGAGAAAGAAGGAGATGGGTGATGAGGAGGTCAAAGATGACAGTGAGGACATGGAGAGGGAGGGGGAGAGGGGAGGGGAAGAAGGAAGGGAGGGAAACACTCTGACCTATCCCTCTCAAGGAACCCCCCACAGCTACCACCACCCTTTTGTGATGACAGCATTGATCCACTTGGGGGGCTCAGGCCCCACAGTGTACTCAGCTCTTAAAGCCCTGGTCTCTCAGCACCGTTGTGCAGGGGATGAAGTTTCCAGCCTGTGGACTAGGGTGGGGGAGACATGTTCAGACAACACTGAAATAATCTCCCTCCCCAAGGCAATGCCACTCGGGGACCAGTTTATCAATATATGTGTGGTTATCCAGCATTTGTAGTCAAAGGGATACAGCCTGAAGTCAGCACAGTCATCAGGCAGGGTCAGGGCCATCAGCGCCTTAGCAGCTGTGATGGAGAATCAGCATTCTTTCCCCGGGGATTCTAAAGAAACCTGAGGGTTGTTAAGAAAGGAGAGATGAGGGCCGGGCGGTGGTGGTGCATGCCTTTAATCCCAGCACTCGGGAGGCAGAGCCAGGTGGATCTCTGTGAGTTCGAGGCCAGCCTGGACTACCAAGTGAGTTCCAGGAAAAGACGCAAAGCTACACAGAGAAACCCTGTCTCACAAAACAAAAACAAAAACAAAAAAAAAACAACAAAAAAAAACACCAAAAAGCAAAACAACAACAACAAAAACCAAAAAAAAAAAAAAGAAAGAAAGAAAGAAAGAAAGGAGAGATGAGGCTGTGCATGTATTCCTTTACCCTCAGAATAGCTATTAACCAGCATTGTTATCCATTTCCACCTCACATTAGTCCATGGGCATCTGGTCTCTTCCCTCTCTTTATTTTTGATACAGACGAATGCCTGACAGAGTATCGGTAAGTAAATATTCACCAAATAATAGCTACCAAGAGAGGAACCCTGGTGGTGGTGACTCAGTAACAGCGAAACTGAGGGTCGAAGGCAAAGCACGTAGCACACAGAAAGTCAACTGAACACGATGACACTCTTGTTTACAATTGTTGACCTCGTTTTGTACAGAGAATGAACCAAGTTACCCGTGACATTGACCGCACCCTTCCCCCTGGCACCACCAGTGGCTTGTTCGGTGCTTCGGTTCATGCCACATTTGTTACTAAGGCATCTGCCAAGCACGCTCCCATTTGGCCCTCTGCATTGTCCAATCGCATGCCAGTGCTATAACGTGAACTCAGCAAACGTTCTTGGAAGGCAGACATTTCCAACACATCTGAAAAAAAAACAAAAACAAAAACAAACAAACAAAAAAACACAGAGCCAAGCCATGGTTTCTCGGCTTCCAGGGTAGTTTCCACCACACATAACTGTATCTAAACCTTCTTCAGAAACCTCTATCCAAGAGCCAATTCAGTTGCAAATCAGCATGGCTCCGGGGCTCTGAAATCAGTATCAGTTATAGACCAAGTTTCAGAAATAGCCCGAGGAGGATATGCCGCCGTTGGAGTCCCTCCCTCTGTTTCTTCCTTTTTTGCTTTACCTTATTAAATATGCATTCATTAAAAGTCTGCCCGAGCCTCACGTTCCCTCTCTAGAACCTAGAAGCAAGAAACAAAAGGCATTTCTGACCAGAAGTTGGAAGATAAGGAACATCAAAAAATCCTGTAAAAAATGTACTTAAAAATCCAGCTTTTATTGTGATCCATATGTTTTCTCTTTGGAAGTTAGACCTTCAAGCTGTGCATGCAATTTTCATTTGAGGTTTAGCTATTCAACTTTCAAGCTCCTAGATTTTATTTATATGACATCACAGTCACAATAGTGTTCTTTTTATTTCCAAGAGAAATCTCTTATGTAATATTTTTTCCAAGAGAAATTTTCTCATTTCTGTTGTAACTTTGGCAATCCTCTATTTCTTCTGTTTTTGCTATAAGATTACAATCTCATCTATGCAGTGACCACCAGTTCCAAGTTAGGAGACAAATGTAAAGACTGTTGTTTATATTGGTTTTCAGGCTGTGCAACAGGCTAGCAGTGTTCAGTAGTCAACTCTTGCAGAGCACATGCCTTAAGAAACATGTTTAAACATGAGAGTGGATTTGTTTATCATATTAGGCTACAGCATTTCTGTGTTTAAAATGTTTCCATTTTGATCTATGGAGATTTCATTGAGTCAAGTGGCCTGTTAATGAGAAGATGATGATGATGTAAACACTGCCTCTTTTTGGTTTTACTTCATTTAAAAAAACAAGTGACTTAGATTAAGTTTTTCCTGAGAGTCAAGTCTATCTAATCTACAAGTACTGGCCGATTCACTACATACTTCATTCTTCTGGCAACTCCTGTGAATGAACCAGACTCTGACTCTCCACTGAGAACTCGAATTTACGTCACTGTTGAGTTGGATTTGAAGACCATTACAGCAAATTTTTTTTTGTTTCCCTTGAGTTACAAGAAATACACAAAAGATTCAGACAGCATGATTAATGCCCAAAGCAAACTGTTTAATCCTATGAAGCACGATGAAGTGTCCCAACTAAGACAGCAGATATTTTTGATTTTCATATTTGAGTAAGTATGTACTCAAGGAAAATCCAATTTCCTCTCTTGAAGCGAGCTAGTAGAGCATGCATATGTCCTTAACTTCATTTGGGTACTGTTCTAAATTGATTTAGGAGCTTACAATTTTAAATTTATAAACTTTGCAAAACAGTACAGTGTCTGTTGTCCCACTGTGGATGTTATGTGTTACTATGGGCTACTGGTCAAATTAAAGAAATCAACGTGGACACACAATTTTTAACTGAACTCTAGACTTTGCCAGTTATGTGATTAGTGTCTTCTTTCTCTTATCAGAAGCCAAGCCAAGGTATCATATTGCAGTTATTTATTACATCTCCAGCATTTCTCAGTTTTTCCAATTTTTTCATAATTTTGGCAGTTTTAAAGAACACTACTCAGATTTTTAATATTATTCTGATTGAATCTTGGGAGAGAGAGAGACAGAGAGACAGAGAGGAGATTAGATTTGACTACGAGCTTTTAGAATACCAAAGCTTGCCCTTCTCAGAAGCCATACCAGTGACTGCGGGGGCACCTTCCTGATGGTGGCAACTTCTGTAGCTGGGGAAGGCATGTATTTCCAAGCTTCTCTTTGGGAAAATTGCTACTCTTACAGACTTGGGCAACTTGAGAAAACACAGCAAGCTGTGTCATTGCTGTAGGAGAAGAGTTTGCAGTTACTGAAGCACAACTATGAACTGTACAACTATGAACAACCATTTGCTTGCTGCGTTTCCTTTTAGAATAAGTTTGTACCACTCTACAGAGTCTTTAAATCACTCTTCTACCGAAATTATTAATTACATATCTCACAGTTTTTTGTTTTTGTCTTTGATTTCCAGGCTCAATGACACATGTTGGGGAAGTAACTTCACCTCTTGGCTTTAGTTTCTTATTTAAACTTCCATAAAATAACAATAATATTTGCTTCACAAGTGTTGTTTCAAAGATCGACTATGCCAATATTTGTAAAGTTTTTAGAAGAGCATGAAACACATCCTGTGTGCCTTGGGATGGGTATAGGGGTTTACTAAGATGCTCGTGTGTGTGTGTGTGTGTGTGTGTGTGTGTGTGTGTGTGTGTGTCTGTGTCTGTGTCTGTGTGTGAGTGTGTGTGGCAACCCAGTAAAAGAGACAGCATGCTTCATGTTTACCTAGGATCTGTTACAAGCTGTTACAAGCATTATGTTTATCAAAGGGTGGAAAAATTACAGACCTGTTCATGTTTATTCCATACACAAAAGTTACAAGATCACATCCTTTGAATGACAATTGTCCTGTTGGCAAGATATGCTAGTGCAAAGGTGGCACAAAACTTGTGGGAGTGACCAACCAACATCTGATTTGACTTACGGGCTACTCTAGGTGATGGAGCCCAAACCCAACATTGCTTGGGTGACCAAGAAACTGTGAGACTAGATAGCTCAGGGACACAGAGTAAAATCATTTATTATTGTTATTTAAAAAAAAAGAAGTAACAATAAGTTATCTCTTAAGGACATTTTGCTATACTCACAGACCAGTGCCTTGCTCAGGTGTCATCAGAGAAACTTCCTCTTTTCTGCAGCTGATGGGAACAAATACAGAGACCCACAGCCAGACATTGTGCATAGAGGGCCCTTGGAACACACAGCCCTGAACAGGCTGTCTGCAACACATCCCTCACCTTAGGGCTAAGGGAACCCTGAAGAAGAGCAGGCAGAAAGAGTGGAAGGGAGAGGGGAAGGCCCTCTCAATCAACATGATCAAAGCTCATATGAACTCACAGAGACCGAGGCAGCATGCACAGGTCCTGCACTGATGTGCGCCAGATCATTTGGGCCAATAGTATGCTTTAGAGTTTTTATGGGATTCTTGAGTGTGTGAGCGAGTGGGTTTCTGCTTCTTGTGCTTTCTTTGGGGGCTCTTTTACTTCTGTTTATTTTTTTCAATTCCAATGTGTTAGTTTTTGTTTTACCTTTATTATATTATATTATACTATATTATATGATTATTCTTTAGAAGCCTGTTTGCTTTCTAATGAGATACAGAGAGAAAGTGGGTCCTGGTGTGGGGGAAAGTGGGGGAGGAGTAGACAAAGGGAAAACTATAATAAGAATGTAGTATATGAGGGGAAAATCTATTTTCAACAATAGGAAATAATTGTAAATTAAATCAGATAGAAAGAAAAAGACAAGCTCTTTCACTTAAAGTGGTTGTATTTAAACTTGATGATTGGAACTATTAGAGCTGCCTTGCGAAAATTGCCATCCAGCCTATGGTGTCAATGGCTTTCTGGGAAGTGGAACAGAAAGACGAAAGATCAGTTCTTCATCACTGAACAACAGCTCCTATTCCTGTGGACTCCTGTTTGTGAGGCAACAAATGTGCTATTGTTGTAGCTATTGTCCTCGTTATTTGAGACATCATCTCACTGTGTATCCCAGGCCAGCCTAGAACTCATGATGGAGCTCAGGCTGACCTTTAACCATGTGTTCCACCTCAGCGTCCAGAGTACTGGGATTACAGGCACCGCCACACCAGACCTTTACTCTCCTTTAAGACGTTTCAAGTATAGATGTCTTTCCTATGCTCCAGAAACTTCTCTAGTCAGTGCACCATGGGTCTAGACTACTAAACAAATTCTAACTAGAATTTCTATACACATATATATAATTATATGTTTGATATGTATTATAATCACACATATTATATATGTGAAATATACATAGTATATGTACATTTTATATTTCACATATATTATATATGTGACATTTAAAAAGGCAACATAGATATTTAGAGGTGATATCGATTAGATATAGATATGGAAAGAAGAGATGGATAGTATAATGGAAAAACTAAAAAGAAACAATAAAGATAACTCAAAATGTAAGGAGCAACGAGTCTAAAGAACTTGAATCAAGTATGACATTACGTACACAATCTTAAACAAGGTACTTGACCTCCTTAAGTCTTAGTTTTCTTATCTAAAAATGAAACAGAATGACCCCAGAATTTTTTAAGGACTAGTAATAATGCATTAAATAAGTTAAATAATAAAAGAATAACCAATAGTTATATAAATGTATTAAATAAAAATATTAATGTAAATTAGATAGAAATGTGAGAGAAAAAGGTTAAGAGAGATTAGAAAAAAATCCTGCCTTTCTGACTTTATAAAAATAACCCATACTGCAACTACAATTAGAAAATAATGTGCCATACTTTTCCAGTTTCAAAGAACTATATCCATAGTTTTGGCAAATTTCCCATTGAACCTCAGAAAACAGTGGTGCTAGGGAGGGGAGCCAAGGACAAACATATGCTCTTATTCATCAGTCAGTCATCGATCTTACAGCCCTCAGATGTTTTCTCACTTCCCTTTCCGGGATACAACTTTTCATCCTCCTTTAACCTTTCCAGTTATTCTTGAGGGGTCTATTGAAAGACATCTGGGGCAGGGATTGTTTAGGGAAGAGGGAATGGTATGGGTAAGACAGAGAGGAGAGAGGGCTGGGGAGAGGCTAATCTGAATGCATTGATACACGGATTTTATCACCAAACAACCAAGTTGGTTAATAAAAAGATTGTTAATTTTGTACATCCTTCCCAACAAGTAAGATAGTTATTTATTTACACTTTCTTTTTTTTTTTTTTTTTTTTTTTTTTTTTTTTGGTTTTTCGAGACAGGGTTTCTCTGTGTAGCTTTGCGCCTTTCCTGGAACTCACTTGGTAGTCCAGGCTGGCCTCGAACTCACAGCGATCCGCCTGCCTCTGCCTCCCGAGTGCTGGGATTAAAGGCGTGCGCCACCACCGCCCGGCTACACTTTCTTTTTATAGACAAAATGAATGTAGAATGATGAAATAATTCAATGATTTATCTCTCTCATCACACACACACACACACACACACACACAAAATCCATCTACATGCACCTTCCAGTAAAGTATACATGGCCATTGCTTTCAGAAATCCCTAAACCCAATTTGTTTTACTTTTTAAGTAAACCTTTCAATGATTATTTTAGTTTAGAAATTTTCAACATTTCTAAGTATGGTGGTCGCATGCCTGTAATACCAGCACTTGAAAGAGTGATTCAGGAAGTCTATCACAAGTTCAAGATCATCCTAGACTACATAGAAAGTGCCAACCAAGTTGCAAATAGAGTTCCTGCTTCAATCAATTAATCGATCAACCAATCCATCCATCCATCCATCCATCCATCCACCAATCAATCAACTCTACTTTTTAAAGTCTGCCACACTCATCATGGCTTGAGAACCTTCATGTTTCCACCTCCATTAGCACTTGGCGCTGTTTTGGTATCCTTTCTTTGAAGGACTGGAGTGACAGGGGAGGGTATGAAAGGAAAATGGTGAAGACTACTGGGGTAAACATGCTCTCCTTAGTGTGCTGCACCACACCACTCTGCAGCGCACCTTCTCAGTCCTGACCAAACTTTCTGTCTGGTGGTGTTTTCACTCTGAGTACTGGTTATAATCAGGAATTTCTAATACTGATATTGTGGCCTTGATGTGAAAGTTCTGAATTAGGGTCTGCCCTGACGTTTTAAAGGCTCACTGTTGCTCCATCCTTAGGATGCTCTGTGCAGTTACTGAGAATTAGGGGCATTGAATAAACAGTGTGAAGAAAACTTGGTAATATAGCTTTCTGTTAGATTTTGTTCTTCTTTCACGGAAGGAATTACAACATGTTGGGTCTGTGTTTAGGCAATATTGGACAAACTTGTGTCCTTCTGTTTACTTAACAAACATCTGTGAAGCATCATGCTGACTCTTTACAAATGTAGACTCACACCTCAGTCTCTCATCCACACTGGGGTAGGCATGGAGAGGCCTGACAAATTGCAAATGATGTGAGGTGACCTAGTCCAGGCAGAGTTCCATGCTCCATGGTGGGCTGAGGGCTCTGGTTTGTCCTGATTGTTCTGGGTGTGTGGAACACTGTTATGTAGAGGCAAGCCTCTAACACAGGGAATTAATTTCTCATTTCCCCACTCCTGTTATGTCTCTGTGAGAGGTTTAAGCCAACGTGACTCTTAAAACCCCTGTACCCTGAGGCTGAATCTAAGTTTTCTAAAACTTATGGCCAAAAGTGATGCAGGCATTAAGTTGAAAGATCATGAAATAGACATGTCAATATTTCTAGAGAAAGATGGGCCAAACACCCAAGATTTGAAGACTTCGAGAGACTTGAAACAAATGAAACAGGATTTTAGGTGTGATTTGTTTTCTATGTTACCTACACCAGGTTTTTCTGCTCCAAGGACAAAGGCACTACCTGCTAGGTCTGTATGCTGAGTACCTACTGGTTGCTGCATGCTGAGTACCTGCTAGGTGCCACATTCTGAGTACCCACTCCCCACTGTCCATGGGTTCTGCTTTCCAAAGAGACAGATCCCACCCCACTTGCCCCTGAGCTTGGGCAGTGGTCCTGAACACTTCAAAGACCAACTCTGAAGCCCTTGTATTAGGAAAAGCAGATCTCCAGGCACTTTCAATTTCAGAAGTTCTAAGACTGCAGAGGGAAGGAGGAAGTTATGCAGATACACACAGAAAAAGAGGTCCTGTTACAGCCACACACCCCGCCCCTAAAATGAACACGAATTCAACTGTGGATGCTGATCTGTTTCCACCAAGTTGAAAAGATGCTGTAAATGTATTTGAAAAGATGAAACAATGGAGCAAGGCAAGTGTCCTCTGAGGTTTGCAGTGCTGGCTGAATTTTTGATAGAACCAATTTCAGCTGTATATGAAGTATGCAAAATTAAAAAAACATGGAAAGGCAAGATACCACAGGATCTTGTGTCTCCATGCAAGCTGCAGTTAATTCACAATAGGCAAGATACAGCAACAGCTAGGTGCCTGTCAACAAATGAGTAGATAAGGAAAACGTGGTGTGTGTACATAGTGGGGCTTTAGTCTGACCTAAAGAATGAAATGATCATTTACTGGAAAGTGGATGGAACTGGAGAACACGCCAAGGGAAGGCAGCCAGTTTCAGAAAGACAAATATTGCGTGTTTTCTCCCATATGAGGACCTAGATTTCTGTATATATGCATATAAGACATAAAGAGGGGAAATAAGGGACCAGCTGGGTGCGGGGGTGGGGGTAGTAATAGAGGAGGGCAGTGAGGGTGGTGAATATGAGGGAATATGAGTGTGTGTGTGTGTGTGTGTGTGTGTGTGTGTGTGTGTAAATGTCAAAATAAAACAAATCACTGGGTGTCCAACTAATATTTTGCCTTTGGAACCTCACCTTATTAAAAAATAATTAAGGACAGAGACAGAAAGCATGTATACATAAGACGACCAGGTGGAAACCTCAGTTCTCCCAGCTCTTCCTGAACAGCAAATCCTTCAGCCCCAAACCCTCACAAAGTTGTTTTTCTCTTTTGGCCTCTCGCCACCCAGTGGCGGATTTATTTCTACCTTCAACCTCAGCTCTAAATTCTCTCTTGCTCCAATGCTTTGGTGTCCGTGTGCACAAAGGTCACATCACAGGTGGTCCCTCCATCTCCGGGAGCACTCGCTGTCGTTTGCAGGGTTTAGGGAGGGCTTGAGGCAGGACTCGAACATCCCAGGCTCCCCAGTGGGCAAGCAGGGCTGAAGGGAGAGGCTAGTAGCACGCGCGTGTCCCCAACACACTCATCCCTCGAGAATAGGGGTGTGGCTCTGTCTTTTTTTCTGACACCCAGACCTGAAGCTCCAGGAATTTCCCCAGCCCGGGGTTCGGGCTTTTCCAGCCACCATGAATAAAAGGGGCTCACAGGGGCCTCGAGCCCCATTCGCACCACAGAGTCTCCAGCCAACTCCTGCGCTCCAGACGCCAACCACACTCCTTTCTCAGCGCCATGGCCCCAGCCACCTGTCCACTCCTCTGCTCCGCTCTGATGCTGCTGCTGCTCCTGGCCACCAGCCGCCAGGCTACAGGTGGGACCCGCGGCTGCCATCCCTGGAGGAGCCTCAGGTGGGCGCAGCCGCCCACAGTTCCGCTGACCCAGTGTCTTTTCCCATAGGGACGGTTGTGGCCAGTGAGCTGCGCTGTCAGTGCCTGAGGACCCAAGAAAGGATCGATTTCCAGGACATCCAGAGCTTGAAGGTGACGCCCCCAGGACCCCACTGCACCCAGACGGAAGTCATGTGAGTGTCTCCCCAGGCAACCTCTGCCGCTGCCAAGGTCGCCCAGACCCTCCTGCTGCCCCCATGCTCACCCCAGTGAGACCTCAGGTCTTATAAGGGTCCTCCTTTCTCTCTGCAGAGCCATTCTTAAGGATGGTCAGGAAGTTTGCCTCAACCCTGAAGCCTCCTTGGTTCAGAGGATCATCCAAAAGATACTAAAGACGTGAGTGATGTTTTGTTTGCACTCTGTGAGCCCCAGAGGAGTCCTGACGTCTGACTCCTGAACATTAACTACACCAGGGAAAGTCACAGAACTACAATCGTGCTTATTATTTTTACAATTAAAATAATCCTTCTGATAATTAGTCTTTTGTGGTGCCAGAAAGATTTTTCCAGGATCCTTTATCCCCGCCTGCAGCCTATCCCTGTTGTATGAGAGTAGATAGTACTGCTTTTTAAAAATTCTCATCTCCCCCAGGCTCGCACACCCAGTTTATTCTGAAAAGCGGGTCCGTGGTGTTCGGAAACAGGATTCTAATATTTAGTGAGGAAAAGCAGGAATTTTGCAGTGGCTCAGAAATATATATATATATTTCCACCAAATCTTATTATCCATCTATTTCAGGAAAATTTAGCTTGAGACTTAATAAAAATGAAAAATAATAGTAGTTTGTGAGCTAACTGAGACCTGGTATGACAGACAAACAACAACTGTAGCTTTTTGAGACCCCAGATTCCCACTTCACCTCCATCCTGAAGGAGCGCATCTACTAGGGCTGAGGTGTCTGCTCCACAGCACAGCCACCACAGGCAGAGGCCACTGGGCTCAGGCTGTACTCAGAAAACCCAGGAGAAAGAAGAATTCTGTGCACCTACTAAAGATATCCATTTTCTCATGACAGCGTCAAGTCCAGCTGAGCCAGGAAAGGAGGAAGCCCCTGATCCTGATGAAGGACCTGCCTTCTAAAGCAAAGAGGAAAAAATTGATCCTTCCAAAGACTGTCGGGATGAGACTTCTGCTTGCTTTGAACAACTCCCGAGAGTCCATATTTATTTATTTTCCCCAAAGTGTATGTTGTTGATATTTTATATGTAAAATAACTAAGGGTATAATTGAACTTGCAAGATGCCATCATGTTTACTGTTTATTTAATATCAAACGTAGGTTTCATCAATCCTCATTCTTAACTTGAAGGTTAAAGGTTTTCAGATTCTCCCAGGGAATTATATTCATATTTGTGAGGCAACCATCCCATGCTGACCATTGTGATGATAGCTGGAGCAGTCAACAGGCAAAGGAGATCATTTAATGTAGGGAGAATATATGTGCACATCTACTTTTGTACCGATAAAAGACTATTAGTTGTTATTTATTGAAATGGCTTTACAGTGTCACGATGAATGATCAACTTTGTGTTGAAGCTCCAAGAATTGTCATGTTCTATATATTCCTTAGATATTTTAAGTGATTTTTTAAGTCTCAATGACTATTTAATGCTTCTATGACTTAGAACTCAGAGGTTTAAATATTTATTGGTATTTTTACAAAGAATTTGAAAATAAAATATTTAAAAAATAATCCTTGTTTTATTTCCTTGGAAGGCTATTGCTAGAGGTTAACCCAGAAACATCATTGTTTCTCAAGTTTTCTTCCTGCTTCTCAGGCATTCAGTTGGCTACAACAATAAATCACTGTAACTCATGGCTCTGTTCACTTGCTGGTGGCACTCATTCCCCACCTGAGAATGTATTTTTCCAGTACTGACACCTGGAGACTCCCCACCTTCCCAATTCTAATTCCAAGGCATCTGATACCCTCTTCTGGCCACCAAGGGCACCAGGCACTCACATGGCACACAGGCATACATGCAGGTTAAACAGCCATACAAACGAAATACATCTTTTTTTTTAGAGAAAAAAAGAAGTTCCTTGCTATTTTGCCACCCAAGTTTGTCTCTTTATGTACATTCTTGTAGCCAACTAAACGACCTAATTCCATTGCTTTTACTAAGTAATTTTTCTATTTTTTAACTTTCTTTTTAAAATTTAATTTATTCATTTTACATCCCGATGTCAGCCTCCCACTATTTTCCTACTCCCCTCCACTCCCCTCATCCACCCCTCCTCTGTTCAGAAAGGGGCAGGCCTCTCATGGGCATCAGCAAAGCATGGCATATCAAGTTGCCATAAGACTTCCCCCTGTATTCAGGCTGGGCAAGACAATCCAGCATGCGGAACAGGTTCTCAAAAGCTAGCCAACGCACTAGGGACAGCCCCTGCTCCCATTGCCAGGAGTGCCACAAATAGACCAAGCTACACAACTGTCACATTTATACAGAGGGCCTAGGTCAGTCCCATGCAGGCTCCCTAGTTGTTGGTTCATACTCTGTGAGTTCCCATGAGCCACGCTAGCCATTTCTATGGGTTTTCCTGTCTCTGACCCCCCCCCCTAGCTCCTACAACCCCTCTTCCCTCTCCTCAAGTCTTCAACATCCTTGTCAGCAGAACTTCCCATGCTCAGCCCAGTGTTTGGCCATGGGTCTTTGAATCTACCTCCATCAGTCACTGGATGAAGGCTCTCCAGTGACAACCGGGGCAGTCAGCAATCTGATCACAGGGGATGGCCAGATAAATCTATGTATCTACTACTGCCGGGAGTGCAAAGTAATTTTTCTAACAACTGTTGACAATTTAATGAAATTGACAGTGAAATGGTGGCAAATTTGGTAATTTTTCCTTTGAGCTCAATTGTCTTACCAGAAGCAGAAAAAGTAAGTAGTCGAGTACTTTGCTTTACAGAAGGGTCCGAGATTTGGGTTCAGCACTCTACCTTATTATGTGTGAAATGACTGCCCATTTCAATGCTCTAATTCTTCATATCAATATATAGATTACTGATATATAGATACATTTGGTTTGACTATATCGGTACTCACTCCTCTTGGTGACATTTTTATAGACCTTGAAAGAAGGCCTTTGAGTGGCTTGTATACATCAATTCCCAGGATGGAAGCTGCACTCCAGTTTCTAAAGACAAAATTGTGTGAAAAAGAAAACATCTCAGTAGTCTAAAGCTAAACTCCAAATTTGGAAATGGGAGTCTTTTGTGTGTGCACCTGTGGAGTACATGCTTGGTTCAAACCAGGTTTCAAAGTGTCAGGTTGGCTTTGCAGTCAATTACAATCCTATCATAATCTTAGGCAACTTTCTTGATTTCAATCAGCTTAATTTCCCTTTCTAAATAGTTCAGAAAGAACAAGAATGTGTCTTCTGAAATAAAAAAGAGGATAAATGTCAGTGTTCAAAAACTATGATTATTTGCTATTACTCCTCAGCCCAATTCCAAAGATATGTCTCAGTTTCCAATGAAATGGATATGAAAAAATGTAGCTTCCTCATCCAATTTCCCTGAGACTTAGAAACTACCATACTCTCCCTTCAGGAATGCTGAATGATTAAGAACTAGAACACAGGACATGTGAGGTGGTAGTCACTGGTTGAAGGTAACAGGAAATGAAAATGATGTAACAGCACAATTTCATGAGTCTGGCTACTGGAAACACCAATGGTGACATGGTTGGGGCTCCTGAGTAAGGCCTCCAAGAGAGACAGAGAGAGAAATAAAGATGGTTGACACTATCCTGTCCTTAGGAGCTCTGCTTTGTGAATGCTCGAGAGGCACCGTCCTGGGACTCCCAGAAGTAACCAAAGAACCACGAGGGATGAGAGAGGTGGACGATCACAACCATACAATATGGCAACCCAGGAAAAGAAATGATGCCATTTCCCTGTCCATACAAAGAGTAAGACAAAGAGCCTGTCTACTAATCATCATTGATATTCACACACTCACCAACTTTTCATGTCTCTGCCCTCCTGGCTGAGGCTCCCTCATCTGAAGGAAGAGCAGACATGGTGGATGGTTTGCTGAACTCACAGACAGGAAAATCTGGGATGCAAGGCCCTCAAAAGCATCCTTGAACACCCCCCCGCCGCCCCCAGGGTGAATGGCAGTTAGTAGATGAAGCCTGCATCCATTCTAGCCTTATGGTGTGTATATTTTGCTGAAGGATATTTGGCTGTTTACCTTTACTCCCGAATGACTTAAATGGAGGTACAATTGTGGGAAACGTTCTACAAGTTTTCCTGATATAAAAACAAGAAGCTTAGCTGCTCACCTTGCTACCTCATCTTTGTGCTGTTTACTGTCTTTCTTTCTTCTCTCCCTCGACTTCTGCTTTCTCTCACTGGTTCTTCTTCTTGGGATAGAAATCTTTGTATCAGATTCTGCTTTCAAAGGAAACCATATTTGGATACTTGGGCTTCCCAGAAATTAGACTTCAAGGTAAAGACTTACGTATTGTTATTTTATTAATGAGTAGACTACCCGAGAACCGGGGATTGGGGTTGGGGAGAGAATGTGATGTGAGTCAGGAAATCTGAAATCTGGCAGGAGATACACATTGTAGTATGGCCAACATCACCAGGGTGGAACAGCACTCCATGGCCAATTTCAGCTGAGCCATATAGGTCTCTTGGGGAGCCATTTGGAGTGTTGTATTCTTATTCTGCTGAAACTATAAAACCAATTTAAAACAAGATATTATTTACATTAATCTCATAAGTTGCCTAAGGAACAAGATATTAGTCTTT